CGGGCCGGAACGGAGCAAACAGCACCGCTGAGGTTGGCTTATGTACAAAGGCTTTATTGAAACAAACAGGAAAGGATGGGGGAGGACAACAACGCAGCTCTTGCTGCAGCCACATACAACATAGAAAAAGAGCAGAAACTTCTGCCTACATGGATATAGTCCAGAAACAGAAAAGGGATATTTGTAAACCTGGAACATGGCAGTCACAAATAAAAGCACCCTTGAAGAATCTCGGTCTGAGTGCTCCTCAGCTGTGGTCCTTCTGACCTCTTCTCATACTTGCTTACAGAAAAAAAAACAAACCCCAACACCTCCCCCCGTTAAGGTYAGCTTTTTATTCCTATATGTCACATCACAGTCCAAGTGGGAACAAATCTGCAGGCTTGGGCAACTTGAAAATTARTACATAAGCTGGTGGAAATAATTCTTCCCCTCAGCCAAGTAACATAGAAAGTCATTAGGTATATCCTGCCCTTTACCAGACACACATCTTTCCTCTTTGCTCCCTTTCGTCCCAGCACTTGTGGCCAAAATTAGTATGGCCAGAAACCAGAATGATGGGACTAGTGGCAGTAAAAAAAATTAGTTTGATACTGCTGTATAAATCAAGGTTTTGTGTTCCACTTATAAACATTTCAGTTATTTGCAATAAATCTTAAGTGCGATTAAATGAGCTTAAGCTGTACTCCTARAATGTTCTGCATATTTTCACATCTTTCCTAATATTTTTCACTTCTCTGATAAGAAAATGGTTGCAAAATACTTAGAATTTCCTACAGTGCTAATATAGACCTCTATACTAACAGAAAAAAAAGGTCTGAAAAGCATTTTATCTTCAAAAAAGTAACAGAAATATATTTATAGTACTATTTACAAGCCTGTTACTAAATTCACATTTAGTCTTTATTGAATGAAGTTCAACATGAAAATTATTCTAAAGCAACCCAGGAAAATCATGCTGTTCAACTAAAGAAATAATCACAAAGAAATTGTGCTTTTTCAGTTTTTGCTCTGGTGGAAAATGTAGCATTTTAGAAGAGGTAGGAACCTGAATAAAAGCACAAAAGGAGACAAAAATCCAGGTGTGTTCCCAGTGAGAAAGCTTTTCCTTGGCAAGGTACAAAAGTTTCAAGGAAGTATCTACCAGTACCTATACAAAATCAGTTTYTGAAATTGAAAAATTAAAAAAAGGTATTAAAAAAATTGAAAGCTGCCCATGGAATAACAATCTTCACTTAAGAGTTATTACCAGCAAAAGAATCTACAAACTAAAATACTTGATTATACCAGAACCACAGCAAAAGTCAAGTTTGACAACTGGCTTTTGCCGATTCTGAGCACTTTAAAAATATGGCTSTGCAGTTTTATTGGGTCATTATAGCTGATCATAATGTCTACAAACGTCACATTTTTTTGATTCTTTCAAAAAAGCATTTTCAACTCGTAGTTTTTCAGTCTCCTGTAAAACAGAGAAAAAACATGGATATATTAAGGAAATTATCCTCAGTTTTTTTTATATTTCTAAATTAGYGGTATCTAGACTTGACTGTTTTATATACTATATACTTGAGGAAATAAAAACAATAATCCTTATCTGGGGCCTGTGAGGAGACAGACCAGCCATGACCTACTCAACTGCACAAAATCAGAGATATCTATATTCCTTTCCAACAGAAGAGCAAGAATTTTACTTTTCATTCTCAAAGCTTAGCTTTTTTTCTGTGTCAGGCCATTATTTAATCTGTAATGTACTCTGCAACTTACCTCAATAAGTTTAGCATTATCTTTCTTCAGTTTCACAAGATACTGAATTTTCTGGTTTGGGTTTTGATGACCAAGTAATTTCCCATTCTCCTCAGCAAGAAAGTCAACTTGCTTCCTCAGCAATTCTGTTTCCTGTAATGATATAATACATTGTGCACCTCTTAGCAGTAGCCTCTCCTTCTCTTTTCAGAAGGAATAGCTTCTTAGAGCTATTAACATACTAACATATAAGTTTGTTGTAACATATGATGCAAGAGTTGGTTCATTCAGGAAACACATATTTGTCTTATGTCTCCTAACATAAGGAGTCATATGTCTCTAACACTATGTTAGATCCCTCTAAAAGGCAAAAAAGGACAATTATTTGATTTGTAATACGAATTCCAATGCTGATTTCCGTACCCAGACTTTTGCTAGTGCAGAGAACATTACAAATACAACTAAACRGCAAAACAGCTGTACCTCTGCTAGATAAGATTCTACCGTGAAGATGACAAAAACATTATACATATGTAACCTTTTCAATCCTGTCTCTTTCTTCATATGCTTCCTCCAGTTTTGATCTAATTTCTTCTTTCTCATTAAATGCTTTGAGCTCTAAAGTTCTTGTTCGTTCCATTTCCAGAGTCATTCTGTGACAGGTGTTCTCTTGGATTCTGAGGATATTTTTGGTCTCTTCTAATCTGCCAATGTAAAAGAATCATAAAACATTAAAAACCAACATAAATGCCATACAACTGAATTAATAAGTCTTGGACATGGATGGAGGCTTCTTTAAAAGCATTTTTTKGAGATATTATATTTCCCTTAGAATTTAGTGTTAAGGAAAGGAAAATTTTCATTCTGTTTCACAGTTCTTGTGTYTGATACTATCAACTAGGCAGTGTTTTGGAGTTGCTCTTCTCTTTGGGAACTGTGCTGTTGGCAATCCCAGATACTCAGCTCCACTCATGATTGAAAACAGAAGCTTCACCTACAAGAACACTTTGAATTAATTCACCTAAGGAATGTAAACTTTCCAGCTAAACTCAGCTGCTCTTCACGTTTCCCTTAAATTGCTTATTTGGCTGTGGCTTTTCCCCCAATAGCCTTATTCCTCAGAAATATCTCTGAATAGCTCAAATGGTCTGAGCTTGTTTGATGTGATAGTAGAAGGACCACTACTTTGGATAGAATTTAAACATTTTCACTCACAGGACATTAAACAATGCCATCAAACTTTGCAGCTTATCTACTTTTTGTGTGAACTTGAGTAATTTTGCAGATSAATTCATATATTGCATAAATTACATTATTGTAATCAGTTTTGTTTTACTAAAGCCTGGTATTTAAGACCTGCTCTGTGAAAACAGCATTCATTTGCTACCTTTGTCAAGACATTTTCTTGATGAAAAATTAGCGAGAAACTTTTTCCTTTTCCCTCTTTGTGCATTATTTGCTTGTAGGAGACATTGTAGCACTGTTACAAAGTGTAGTTCAGAGACCAGACAGGAATGAAAAATCAATGCATCAAATAGAAAAATGATTCCTAATTTCCAGACTAGGATTTCCAGAAAATTCAATGTAAATTACTTTTGAAATGACCATATGCATAAAAACTATCAAATGAAGATAACTCAAATGTTAGGAGATTCAGTCATTATGGATCCTCAAGCAATACAGATTAGGAAAAGAATTAGCAAGACCAACATTTCCAAACTAATTTTTATCTACTAATTCAGTATTTTCCTTCTTTGCTATTATCCATCCAAGGTACAAAACACTTGAATTTTGAGGACTACTTGCCTAGTAGTGCAAACACCATTGAGWAATCCTCTAATAATAAAAATTTTTCATTATTCAAGCTTAATTGCAAAAATTTWAACATATGGCATAAAAAGCAAATATAACTACWTTATGTTTAAAATGATAAAGCATCTACAGTGCTTAAAATAAAGAAATGAACAGTACAATTTAATTTGAAAGGAAGGTACTTGKAATTCACTGCATATGAATAACTTAAAACAATTAAAAACATCCTTCCAATTTATGTTTTTATGGGTCTACTTATGAGATTTATTGTCTTACTTATGTCTTACTTATTGTCCTGATATAATGCTATGTAATAATAGGTGCTACTACCACCTACTGATGAGAAAGAGTAAGAACTCAGGGCATCTTGCAGAAGTGTAAACATTTCCAAATTATGTCTATTATCATTTCAGATCTTGGACTTCTGTTGCTTAAATATATATTTTTTGTCATTAATTAGTTTAATACAAGTTTCCAGTTCAAGGAACAATGGCTAGACTTACTCTGCTTTGATTTTCAGCATTTCTTCCACTGCTTTACTCTGTAAAAGTTCAAAAGCATTAGATACAGTTGTAATGTTTAACATACACATACATATATTTACAATTATTTGTCACTTAATTGATGCTACATATCTCATTCCAGATCATCCTACTGCCTAGCAGCTCACATCTCTAATACTGTGAGTTCATCTCTTTGCTGTAGGCACTTATTTCCTGCTCCATGCCAGCACAGCTGACTCACAGCAGTGTCCCTCTGCCCACTCACACACAGCTCTAACAGGGGGACCTTCTGTCTGGGACATCCATGGCAACCTCCGCTGTGACATTAACTTCCCTTTGACAGAGCCCTGACATTAGCAAGTGACACAATCATCWCTTTCCAACTCTGGAGATGAGTCAGATTTAGCAATCTGAATATGTTTTTGCTAATTGTGCAATCTGACATCCMGTTCACTGGTGTTAGGCCAAGATAGAAACCCTAAGAGCTAAATGTCAGGCTGTGCCTGTTAGAATTCACTAGAAATCAGTGTTTGTTTTGCTGCCATGAAAACAAAAACTTCAAATCAAAACAAAGCAGAAAAATCACATTAGTACTTCACGGCAGGTCTAGAGTGACTGACATGAGAAGGATAATATACCTTGGCACGTCGCTCTTCAGCAATCTCYTCCTCTTTCTCTTTGAGGTACTGAACATCAGGATATTTCTGATCACTAGGAAATTCAGGAATGAGAATAAAGTTTCTCACAAACAGAGGAAACCAGTTGTAAAAACATGTTAGCCAGATGAAACCAGTAAATGTGTGCAGTTGTTTTCACATGTGTGCTTACTCAAAATACTGAACATCACGAAACAGCT